GGGGGGGACGCCGGCCGTTTCTTTTATAACGAGTAGCGAGTGTATAAAGTAAGAGACAAACTAATTATAGTATAAAAATTGTTTACCAATCGCCTGATTTCCGGGCGTTAGACGAAAATATTATTTTTCTTAGATCACATTATATTGTAATAAAGAGTAAAGTATAGAAGTATGAGTGGGATGGGGCGGGGCGAGGAGGCGGGGGCCGGGGGCGGGGCGTGCGAGCAGCAAAGCGATATTTTTGTAGTAGCGCCCCCGCCCCCGCCCCGCCCTCGCCCCTGACATATTTGTTATGTTTAAGAGGAAATATCTATTGTCTATTCCAAGGGTTGAATAACTACCAACACTTTTTTATATTACAATAATTATAGAAATTATTATTGAACCGTTGTTTCTTTTATCCTAACACAGAACAAAACTATAATTCAAACATTAAACACAGTTAAATCAAATTACAATACGATCATCTCTTCTACCTAATCCTACTCCCGTTTGGTGTAATGGGTTTTCGTCCTCCAAAAAACTCTTATCATACGTCATCTCAGTCATCACTCCTATTTTGATCGTCACCTTTTACGCAATCCATCCATCTCTTTCTATGTCTACCTCTACCGGTGTACCACATTCATAACTAAAGTCCTTCTTGTTACGTGCGATTCATCCCTCATAACATGCCTACACCACGTTAACCTTTGGTAGAGTAGGTAAGGAGTATCTACCACTCTCAAACTTCCTCTAACATACTCATTTCGTATCTCATCAAATCGTGTGACGTCACATCTTAACATTCGCATTTCTGTCAGATGTAATCTCCTTTCCTTCATTCTTTTTCCTGCTAAGCATTCAGATGCATAATGACGGGTCTTACGAAGGTCATGTCATCAACATATGAAATATAATATAATAAAAATCTATAATAAATTATAAACATCTGAAATCGTATTTTAATTATAATTATCAGCGTAGAATTTTTATATTTGACATAAAATACTTTAAAATATATTCAAGTATATTACATTTTTATTTTAAGAAAATGCTTACTCAATTTCTGAATACTCGAACTATGATGATAAAATACGAAAGAGGAACAAATATTCATCACATCATCATCATCACCAGCTCACTATACGTCCCCACCGAGGGGCTCGGAGCCTACCCTAATATGGGGGTGACTAGGCCATTGTCAACCACGCTGGCCAAGTGCGGGTTGGTTGACTTCACACATATCTTTGAATTTCTTCGCCGATATGTGCAGGTTGCATCACGATGTTTTCCTTCACCGTAAGAACGTCGGGTAAATTATGTACATATGCAAAATTCGAAAAATCGAAAATCACATTGGTACAGCGGGATTCGAACCCACGACCCGTAGATTTCAAGTCAAGAGTTTAAACCACTGAGCTATCGACGCTCCTTACAAATATTAACAACAGGTAAATAAAATACAGATAATATAAAGTACATATTTATTTTACATTAAATTTAGTTTCTAACATGTTTTTTCTTTTTCTTCTTCTTGTTAGTGTGAGACTCTATGAGGTCGTCGATCTCTTTACTATCTTCACCCAGACGTTTCTCGCCGCTGAAAATAAAACAATATTAGTAATAAATTTTATAAACTAGCTTTCGACCGCGACTTCCGCGTGGAAATAAAACCAAGGATAAAACCCTGTGTTCTTCGAGAGTATGTTTTACTTGGTGAAATTTATTAGCTAAACTAATAGGGCTAAACTCTAACAAACATCCATCCATACATCCAACCTTTCACATTTTACTTCTTACTAATATTATAAATGCGAAAGTTTAGATGGATGGATGTTTCTTAGAGTTTGTAGCCTAAACTGCTGAACGGATTTTGATGAAATTTGTCATACATGTAGAGGATTCTGGAAGAACACATACTATTTTTATTTAATTTCACGTGAACGAAGCCGTGGACGAAAGCTAGTAGGCTAGTAAACGCGCTAATTGGAAAGAATTAAACGCAAGAAAGGGACAAAACACTATCTTTACTGGCAATACTATACTAACGGTAATAGGCAATATGTACGTTTTTTTCTTTTTTTTTTAAAAAATTCTACTTGTTATAGAATAACCAGAAAAAATTACTCGAAAACATTCAACCTAACAGATAAAAATAACAAACTTAACACTTGCTTCGACCAATAGTGTGCGTTTCAGAACTTAGCGAGGGAATTTAAAAAAAGACACTTTTTAATGATTTTATTTTGCCACTCAATCACGTTATATTAAAAAAAAATGTTTGCAGGAATGTTTTTATAGTTATAAAGTATACTTAAAAAAAGTTTGGTACAATTTGGCGTCATATGCATATTGCCTGTTCTCAATAGTTTATATAGAAATACACTCTTGAAGTATTTTACTGTAAACACGATATCAAAACCAACTTTAAAATAAAAAAATAATAAATAGAATTATTAATTACCACTTATTTGTACCAGGAATAATAAAAATTAATCGATTTTTGACTTTTTGACCTTGAGATACTTTGTTGTTTTTTACATCGAAGTGACATCTGAGCGTAAGTTATGAATGGATTAAGACGATTGACGTCAATTGTCTCATGTAAACTCCGGTCGCGATATAGTCGCTTGAAAATGGTCGTAATTTTTTGATTATTATTTTTAGCTCAATGGTTGAATATTTTCGTCAATTTTTTTTTTTTGGTTATTTCATAACAAGTAGAATCGTTTAAAAAAAATACATGCATATTCCCTATATTTCAAATGTAAACAATAAAATGAAGTTTTATAGCGAAGCTGTGTGAAGAGTTAGTAATACCTTTTAACGGAGACGATGTTTTTCTGCTTGGAGGTGTCGAGTGCGTTGCTCCAGTCGAGGTCGCTGCCGCGGATGCGGTACTGCGCGAGGTCTTCGCCCATTAGACGAGATAATTCCTTGCGCTGCTTACGCTCTAATTCCTATACAACGTGAATAAATACTCATTTTAATTAAAAAAAATACTAGTAATCTTAAATATATTATAAGTATTTACAACACATACTAGTAATCGGAATATATGTTTTTTTATATTAAAAAGTATAGCGGTTAGATGTGGAAATATTTTTACTAAAGATGGTAAGTGGTGTACTAACCTAAAAATCTTTCTTAATAAATAATAATTAAAAAAAATTATAATTTTGTTTTGTAACGTTACATTTATTTATAACATAAAATATTTTTATTTTTAAAATAACCTAAAAGACAAAAAAAACTCTCTCTTTTCTCTCGTTTCTAAAGAAATTGCGAGATGGTTTTAACGAAAATTTTAATTTTTGTAACAAAGTCTTAAATTATAAGACCACTACAAATTCTATCAAAAAATTATCATCTGTCAAATTGTAAGTTGCGCTCATAAAGTGAAGAGTTTAAAATATTTTACTAAAAAAGACACGAATCCATTTTTTAAAACTATTAATTTTTAGATACTAAAAGTAGTTTCCAAAGGAATTCTGAAGGAAGATATCCAAATCAATATTTCAAAGGAAAGATTTCTTAATAAAACAAAAAAAAAATACTAAATCATTTACTCTTCAACCTCCATAAAATAATAAAAATAGTAAAAAAACAAAATACCTTTGCTGCTTTAGACAGTTCATCATGAAGGCTCTGCTTGACTGGAGTGTTCTCCACCTCGACTGTCTTCTCTATCCCGATCTCCTTAGCAACAGTATCTTCTAGAACGGAGTTAATCGCTGCATTTATCTTCTTACAGGCTTCGTAGAACTTGGCGAGGATCTGCGAGCCTGGAAGACCGAGCTCTGACGCGATATCATCTACATCCTTCATTTGGAAGCCCATCGCGACAAATATTACCTGAAAGGAATTTAAAAAAATACTCTGTACTAGCTTTCACGTGACTTCGTCAGAGTAATGCAAGTAATCTTCTAGATTTCTACATTTGTGCTAAATTACAGAAATATTCGTTAAGTCGTTAGGGAGAAATAGCGACAAACATCCATCCATCCATACAAACTTTCGCATTTATAATATCAGTATGAAGTTTGATCAAACAATAGTCAAAAATATAATGCGTTTCAAATATAGTCAAAGATGTTTATTCTGATCAGAAGAATACAAAAAAATTACTAATATTATAAATGCGAAAGTTTGTTAGTTGTAGCCTAAACTACTAAATTGATCATGATGAATTTTTTTTATAAATACAGCATAACTCGGAAGAATACATAGGCTATATATTTTTTTATAACTACAAGCGGACAAAGTCACGGGTGAAAGCAAGTATCAAATTGAAGCTTAAGAGCTGCATCAAATGGTATAACGCAAAAAAAATGCAAAAGCCTAGAAGAAATTTAATGGATTTGGACAAAGGGACAAAGGGATTTTAATTATTACCTGTTGCACAGCATCCAGCTTGAGGGGTACCTTCGTGTGGAAGACCAGGTGAGCCAGGGGGGTGAGCAGGTCGGTGATGAGGCGGTAGTCCACTTGCTGGCGGCAGTAGCTCTCCAGCCTGCCCACGTCGTG